TAAACAGGTATAATTGCCCGGATCATGTGAATCCTGCTGAGTTTCTGGCAGATCTTATATCAATAGACTATAGTTCTGCAGACAGCGTGTACTCCTCTCAGAAGAGGATCTGCGGTCTTGTTGAGTCATTCTCTCGGTACTCTTCAACAATTTTGTATGCAATCCCAATTGAGAAAAGGCAGGTCTTGGCTGGTAAGGAATCCAGGAAAAGTAAGCTTTTGAAGAAAGGAGGTTGGTGGAGGCAATTCTGCTTGCTCCTCAAGCGCGCATGGATGCAGGTAAACATTGGTCTCATTCAGGTCGAAAATATAGATAATTGTTATAAGAGGGTGAAAAAGAAAACCTCTGCTATGCAGTTTCTGATACTATAACAATGACCTGAGAAATTTATTAGGATAAAAGCTTCATTTTCATGTGTTATGTCTGATAATTCTTGGTTTGAAACTGTCTAGTCTTCATCAATCCAGTTGTTTGCAAATCACGTACATTAAGGAGAGTATCTATGGGTCACGAGTGGTTTGCCTAACGTGTAGGCTATTGTGTGAGTAGTAATTCTATTAGTTACTTACTTGATTAAAGCTTTTAATGAATTACTAGGCTTCTCGGGATGGACCAACAAATAAGGTTCGAGCACGAATGTCCATTGCATCAGCTATCATATTTGGTTCAGTCTTTTGGAGAATGGGAAGATCTCAGACATCAATCCAGGATAGGATGGGTTTGCTTCAGGTATAAAACATTGTTGTATCTTCGGAACCATTCAAGCATTGTGGTTAAATTGCTTTCTTGTATAACTATAATATTCTGACGTTGCTTTTGTACCACAATAACGAACCAATATTCTATTGCAATTATAATCAAAGAAGATCCCCCACCCCCAACCCTACACCTGGTGGCTAGAATTGAGAATAATTCCTATGAAAAAATAGAACATGTTCAATCTTCTCAATCCAATTTCTGGCTATGGATATGTTTGCCTTCAGGTTGCAGCAATCAACACTGCAATGGCTGCTCTCACCAAGACTGTGGGTGTTTTTCCGAAGGAACGTGCAATTGTTGACAGGGAGCGTGCAAAGGGATCTTATACGTTAGGCCCATATCTACTTTCTAAATTGTTGGCCGAAATTCCAATTGGAGCTGCTTTTCCACTGATATTTGGCACTATCTTGTACCCCATGGCTCGTCTTCACCCAACCGTATCAAGGTCAGGGTCTGATCATTCCGTAATTAGCTGCCAACATCATGCACTCATTGCCACAGATGACGATTTTAAAAAAAATAATTTGTAGAGGACTGGTGTTAGATATTTCTTATCCCTATTCATTTGTTTCTATTTAGGATGGGATTCTCTGCTAGAAAATTTGGGCTTAAGTAGGATGCATGTTATAGGGGTTGTATCTGCAATGCTTACTAAATCAATGAAAAATGTTTAATGTTCCAAAAAGAAAAAGTAGTCTTGGTCAATAAGTTTTTATTTAGTTATTAAATCTCTAGAAATTTTGCCGTTATGAATTTCATCCTCTAAGGAACGTGTGTAATAAGGCAATTATCTCGACTCTTTCTGATGGTTGGGCTTGTAAATTTTCTACTTCTAGATTTGGGAAGTTCTGCAGTATTGTCACGGTTGAATCTTTTGCTGCGTCTGCTATGGGGCTCACTGTAGGGGCTATGGTTCCTAGCACAGAAGCAGCAATGGCAGTGGGGCCCTCACTCATGACAGTTTTTATTGTTTTTGGTGGCTATTATGTAAATGCAGACAACACACCGATCATCTTTCGTTGGATTCCTAGTGTTTCTCTTATAAGATGGTAAGTGTGTCGGATCCACTATATAAGATTTTGGATATCATGTTAAATTTAAACAAAATCTCTCCATTGATTCTAATGACTCGAATGACATTTCATCTTTCAGGGCCTTTCAAGGGCTTTGCGTCAATGAGTTTAAAGGTCTTCAATTTGATTGTCAGCATTCATTTGATATTCAAACTGGAGAACAGGTAAGCGAGAGTATGATCTTTATTATTTAAACTTGAATATGGGATCTTCAGTATTGTGTAAGATACTAAAATGATTGAGCATGGAACAAGTCATTGAAAACTGTCGTACATCTGCAGAAGTCCACAGGAACCTAATTATTTATGGTCCTATTTCTTTGTATAACCATTGGGACATTATTCATTATCTCCTCCTTGTAGTGATCCTCTGAGCTTGTGGAATTCCTTGATTCAGTTTGAAACTATGAATTGGCTAGTTATTAAACGAGTTAACTCTTGTGGCTTAGTTTTATTCGGTTTTGCTTTTATCCAAGAAATAGTACATTGGTATTGGGAGGAAAGATTGAGCCGCTCTAAGGATATCTTTGCATAATTGGTTAGCCTTTCAGTATTTAAGACATTATTTAAACGTGTTTCCATCCTAATGCCTTTGCTTTTCTTCAATTTGCAGGCACTCGAACGACTTTCATTTGGTCAAAGCCGTATCGGGGGTACATTGATAGCTCAAAGTAGGATACTTTTGTTCTGGTATTATACCGCTTACCTTCTCCTAGAAAAAAATAAGCCCAAATACCAGCAGCTTGAGCCACCACCTCTCGACGAAACACAGCCAGATGATCTACAAATCGAAACCTTTGACAATGACAACTTGCACAAAACTGAACGCGAAGGAGATCTACAAATCGAAACCTTTGACAATGACAACTTGCACAAAACCAAACGCGAAGGAGATCTACAAATTGGAACCTTTGATAATAACAACTTAGCCAAAAGCCAGCCTGAGGGAGAACTACAAATGAAAACCTTTGATAATGGCAACGTGGACAAAAGCCAACCTGAAGGAGATCTACAAATGAAAACCTTTGATAATGACAACTTGGACAAAAGCCAACCTGAGGGAGATCTACAAATGAAAACCTTTGATAATGAGAACTTGGACAAAACCCAACTTGAGGGAGATTTACAAATTGAATCCTTTGACAATGACGACATGGAGAAACCCCCATCTCTCGAACAAGTTGAATTGAAGGATGCAGATATTGAAACACTCGAAATCGATCAAATCCGACCATTTATTCTAGAAGGTTTGTAATTATTTAGGCATTACCTGTTAATTGTTCTTAGATGTGCTGCTATTTATTAGTTCATCTCATACAGGTGCTAAGTAAGGAGATGTGATGGCAAATAAAGGAGGCTGTTGCCTTACTTAAGCTAATAAGCTGTTGTAGTTGTAGAATGTGAAACAATGCAGTTACTTTGGCACTCAATACATAATTGAGTTATGAATTTAATGTGTAATAATAATTTTGATGAGGTTTCCATTTTGGAGAGGATGAAGGATGATGGTTGGACAGCATGGATGAAGTTGTGCATCATCATGGCATCTTGACTCCAAAGTGTAAACTAACACTTAACCCAATTAGCAGGTAAGTACCACAATGCTTCTTTAATATGCTTTAAGCCACCTTTCTTTTGTAAGTTCATAGTGGATTATGCTCCCCGTTTGATTTTTCTTATCCAAGTACCCTATAGTATTTTTAAAAATGTTAACTGCAAGTTTTGTATTAAATCCTTTAGTTTTTCAACGTTTCTTGAAATTTCAATAAATTGCCAATTTTTAATTTTGTGTTGAATAAATTATCAAATTTTCAATATTGTGTCTAATATACATTTGATCTATTTCAGTTTGCATATTAGACACAAAGTTGAAGTTTTAATGTCTATTTACATGTAGAATTCAATATTATGTTTAAAAAGGTTAGTTAATTATTTAAAAAAATGTAGAGTTTGTTAGGGATCTATTAAATATTTTGAAAGTTACCATTAAATTTTTTTTTCAAATTACAATATAGGGTTATTTTTTTCCTCCCTTGCAAATGTATTTTTGATGTAGTCAATATGCAAAACTCTTCTTTTACCTCATTTCTTCATCTAGTGTAAAATGGTTGCACCACCAACTTGAACAGGTGCTTCCACATTGCTTTATCATAGAATTTAATATGCAAATTATGCTTATTAGAAGAGTGATTGTAATACATTCCGTATTGTTTGGCAAGTGAATATGAATGTACAACTAAAGTGGCTTTAAGCAAATTTATCTGTAATTAATTTTCACGAACACAAAAAGGATTAAAATTTCTTCCACAATCAGTTGAATCCTCTCAAAATCAATCCAAACCTAGGCTAAATTTGTATTATAACCACACACACACACACATATAGATCATAACACACTCCCTTCAGAATTAATTTGTACCACTTCAAAACTAATTTGTTGTTCTGAAAAGTTGGGTAAATGTTAAGCATGTTCATCAATTTCTATGGTTCATTTTGATGTTTGGCATTTATTTAACTTAATCTTACTCAATTGGTTATGATATGGATTTCACTACTTCATCCATTATTTTCTTTCCAAGCAATATGTATGTTGCATGACGGTACGAATCTGAATTTATGGTTTCTTAGAAAGGATAAAACCACGAACTAAATAAGAATCAAGTTGGTCATCGAGTAATTTCTCTTTTAAGTGCTGGGATTTGCACTGAGATCAGATTATTCCTGGGTTTTTTAAGAGCCCAAAATTGCAAGGTATTAGCTCAGAAATATTCGAAACTCAAAAGACAAGAAAAACCCAGAAATATACACTCAATGCTTGAGCCGTATTGTGATGCCACTGCACATCTAACATACCCAAACCCCATGTTATGAACTCAAAATAACAATAAAGTTTAAGGAAATCCAAGCCATAACATAGAATAAAGTCTCGTAAAACCAGCCATAGGACTAAATCCTTCCACAAATTTACATATTTGAACAAGCTGCTTACTTTCCTGCAAGATTTATGACTCATCTAAATCCTTCCACAAATTTACATATTTGAACAAGCTGCTTACTTTCCTGCAAGATTTATGACTCATTTAGGATTTCCAATTTACCCATTTGTAGAAAACTTTTCTTTATTCGGATTTCTAGTGATTTGGGAGTCTAAGAACTTGGTGGAAAAAAGTTGTAGAAAACTTTTCTTTATTCGGATTTCTAGTGATTTGGGAGTCTAAGAACTTGGTGGAAAAAAGCCCTCATCTTATCTGCTGCATCTTCATGATCTCAGAATCTGTGAGCCTCAGTTCCTCCTTTCCCTTCTATCTACATCAAAGAAAAATATCAGTACGTGTAGATCTGGAGCCATATCTGAAAGTACATGCATTGTTTCTAGGGCCCATTCAATAACCATTTGGTTGTTTGTTTGTTTGTTTTTTTGCAGTAGTTTCCATTTCTCTAAGGGAACACTTGAACTCATTGTCAAGTTTCAAAACAAACAAAACAAGATTTAGAGAACGTCCATTGATTAGTTACCAAAACTTGTCTAGGAATTTCTAAACACTGTTAAGAAGAATATAATATAACAAAAACTTCATGAGATGATTGGTAATCAGGATATGAAGGTAGAGAAACCAAGGTAGTGGATGGCGAGGGAGCTCCCTTCAGTCCAAGACGTGACAGCCATGGCTGAACTTGGCTCCTGCATCGTTGGTTCAGAAACACATCATTATCCAAACATTTATATCAGTTGATGAGTTATTGAGCCAACGAGTCAGCAGCTAAGTAGCAACCGAGAAGCTGCCTTGGACTGGACTGAAGAGAGCTCCCTCTTCTCAAAGCCATAGTAAAACAAATAAGAAGTCTTGGGATAGAGGATTTTGAAGCTGTTGGCTCAATACCCTGCAAAGAAACAGATTGTTGGTTAGCATGGAAACAAGAACGAGAAGTTGAGAGATTTATAAAGAAAAGAGGAAGGGGATGGGGAAGGGGAAGGGGAGGTTAGGTGTTAATGTAATGCATTAAAAGACAAGAGAAAGCAAAGGACAAGTTAGCTGATGTGTTAGAAAGTGAAAGTCCTTTCATTTCAAGTGGAGTGGACAAGTCTTTGGTCTTGTACTCTCTGCCTAGATTTCATATCACACAGCTGTATGGCCCAAAGCATTCTCATGCATTTCTCTCTCTACTCTCTCACTGTTTCACACACTCAGTACCCAAAACAAAACAAAATTTTGGGTATTAAAATATATTGTCTTTTTATTATTGAACTTTTCTATGTTATATAAATTTGAATAATCTCCTAATTAGCAGGTGCTTATTGTTATTCCATTCTCCACTCATGATGTCCATCCTTGACCACTTTGTTTCTACATTACACCTCTCTTGTTTCATTCATTACTTAGCTTTTCTCTTGATTTTTATTTGATTTTTATCCTCTTTTGCATTGCATAATGTTTGGTTTTAATCCTCTCTACTGCTGAGTTTTTTTTTTTTTTAATAGACAATTTGATTGATGATGGGATCTTCTCAATTTGCAATAAGGGAGATATAACTATAGGAAGTAAAAATATTAGACAGTCTATATCAAGATATAGCTTGGTAAACGATATTGTCGAAAAGTTTTGTGTAAGTCTGTGTCTTTGGAACTTTGTGGTTAAATGTGATTGTCAATGACATAGTAGATGATAGCATAAGTTCATCAATTATAGTGTATCTGTTTTGTTTCGAATACATGAAAAAAAGGATAGAAAATCTTATTCACTCAACCCGTGAGTTGGGTAAAGAGGTTGGAGATTCAAATCTTTGACTTGTTTTAGATATGTCGTCTAGTTCGTGTAGATGTATATATTCTTCCTCAAAATTTTAGTCTACAAAAGAAATACTAACAATAAAGAAAACTTCACTGTTTGGCATTCCGTGTACTAAACCACTCTCCACTCTCCACTCTCACTCTCAGGCTCATCAGCTTTACCCCCCTGACAAACACTCAAGAAAAACACAGCCATTTTTGTTTGGTTCTTTTCCAACCCCATTTCTAACCATCACTTCCCATTCTAACTAGTTCTCTCTCTCTCTCCTGGTTCACAAGTTAAACTTGCTTAATCTAGGTAAACAGACTCAGGGTTTTCTTTTTCTATTTCTATTGTAACCTCTTCATTTGTACCATATTTCTATTAGAAAAAACTAAGATTACTCTACTTGTTACCAAAACCTGTGCATAAAACAGGGAAGGCTTCTCCGTCCTCGTCCCATGGAGATCATTTTGGTGAGCGTTTAAAGCTTTGAAGTTAGATTGTGTTTTAGTTAAAGATTATATGAGGGGGATGATGAAAAGAGAAGGGAATATGTGGTTTGTTTGAAGTTGGCGTTTAGGGTAGTAGAGGGGAGGGGAGGGCGTGGTGTGACCTTTGGCCTTTTGGTGGGTTTCCCAGGAATCCGAATCTTAGAATCAGAAGCAAATAATGGTCATTTTTGGTGTTGTCAAGTCCTTACTTACTTATGCTTAGGCAGGCAGGCTTTTTTGTTTAATGGTTCCTTTGCTTCCATATCATCTCCCCATGCCTTATTTCCTTGTCTACTACTCTTCAGCCACCAACCTTTCTTGTTTCTTTCTCTGCTTTCTTCTCTTTCTTTACACTTCACTAACACTCAAAAGGAAATTCAAAAAGTGCCCTTCCCCTTATTAACATTGTTCCCTTCTCTTCTGTTTTCCTCTCATTTTTCTTCTCTTTTCTTTTTCTTTTAACCAAATGCATTTGGTTCATATGTTCTTCATCCTAAACCTTGCTTTTCCATTCAATTTGAAATAGTTCTCGAGCTCATCTGCTTAATGCATTATAACTTTGATGATCACAGGTTTGAGTTCTTATCTCACGTATTGTTGAAGTGAAACAAGAAAATGAATGTCTTTTTAAGTTTCAAACAGTATCGGATGAATGTTTAAGCTTTCAGTTTACTATCAAAGTTTTCATATTGGTTAGGTACTAATTGTTTAGGAATACGTTAAACACATTTTCAATCTAAAGGATCGGAGTTTATTAAAGATAACCTTAAAATTTTGAGACTTATAAACACAACATATTCCTAAGAAATAGGCGTAAGTAAGTCATTGGCTCTAATCAAAGAAGTTGGCTATAGTTTGAACAAAACTCTTATTGAAACCAACAATTTTTTATGTTATTTGGCGTACAAGAATTTAGATATGCAAATTACATGCCTTTTCTATTTAATTGTTTGGGCAAAAATGTGTCATTTTGTTCGATAAGGACATCTTTAAAAAATATTTTATTTTTAATAAACATTTCCATACCTATCTTTTTGTCAAACATGAGTTTAGCTCAACAAATCATTAACATATATTCCTGCTCTTGTAGTTGAAGATTGAATCCTCACATTCTTACATTTGTTTTATTCGAGTATCTACAGTCTTGAACAAATATCTAAAATTACATATGATAAGCAAAATATTGAATTTTGAATCAGGTTATCTATTTACCCACCATGGACGAGCCCCTCCCACCCGACAGGTACTCATGGGTCATTATGCACTCTTCGAACAATAAATCTATTTTGTTTATAACAAAATTAAAGATAAATATTTTTTTTTTTTAAGTTTGTCTCATGGTTGAATTAGAATAAGGCATGAAACTTGAGGGAATGGAAATAATATTATGAAAATATTATCTTTTGCAAATGATAGTGATAAGATATGTCTCTTCATCAAAGTCAAAACAAAATTAATCAAAGATACAAGTGAAACTTCTCCCTCTTTTCCATTCCCTTCAATGGTTAGGTCAAAAAGAAAGGAAAAATAACCTTCCTAAGCTATCTGTTCATATTTTGTATCAAATAAGTCACTAAATTTAATTTAAAGATGGTAGAAGAAAATATTAAAATTTTAAATTAAACTTTTTAAAATTCAAACAAAAACTTAAAATTTTTAAAATGGGTAAATAATTGTATCTAAGAATTAAATTATAAGTTGGAGTTGGATTCCATGGATTTAACAAATATGAAATTTGATGGAAGCTAAAATCTTTAACAAATCTTGAATGTAGGGACAAATCTTGAATTAGGGACACGAGGCGTCGGGAACGCAACATCGTCCACCGACGTTGGTTCCTCATACCTCCATCTCCCGTTTAAAATGGACCTAATTCCTGCACATTTTCCCGAGAAACAAACGGAAAATCATCGAGAAAAATCCATCCATTTTCTTTAATTTTCCTCCGCCTTTGTCGTTTTCACGCAACTGGTCTTTGCCTGACCTGCACCGCTCTTTCCCAGACAATTGTTCATTTTTTTACGAATCTGTAAGGCCCATGTGGAACCCCTGTTGATTCTTCGGCGCCCTTGCCTTTTTTTCGAATTAAAATTTGAAATCCTTGAATTTGGGGTTATGCCTGCTCCGTATTGTAGACGATTTATCGTGTCGGAGAAATCCGCCATGGAAACCGCCATTGCAGTGCCTTCTTCTACCCCATCTGGGCTTTTGGCACCGCCATTGTCATCGGGGATTTTAACACAAGACGAATTGAAGAAGATCGCTGCGTACAAGGCCGTCGAATATGTCGAATCCGGCATGGTTCTCGGCCTTGGCACCGGCTCCACCGCCAAACACGCCGTCGATCGAATCGGCGAGCTATTACGCCAAGGTAAGCTCAAGAACATCATAGGAATCCCCACTTCCAAAAAAACTCACGAACAAGCCCTCTCGTTAGGAATCCCTCTTTCAGACCTAGATTCGCACCCTGTTCTCGATCTCGCAATAGACGGCGCCGATGAGGTCGATCCCCATCTGAATCTTGTCAAGGGCCGAGGCGGCTCTCTTTTGAGAGAGAAAATGGTGGAGGGTGCTTGCAAGAAGTTCGTCGTGATTGTTGATGAATCGAAATTGGTTAAGTATTTGGGAGGCAGTGGGCTCGCCTTGCCAGTGGAGATTGTCCCCTTTTGTTGGAACTTCACCGCCGTGCGGCTGCAGAATCTGTTCCAAACCCATGGTTGTGTGGCAAAGCTCAGAACCTCCGGTGAAAATGGACAACCGTTTGTTACTGATAATCGCAATTACATTGTGGACTTGTATTTCAAGGAAGATATTGGAGATTTGAACGTTGCTAGCGATGAGATTTTGCGGCTTGCCGGTGTCGTCGAGCATGGCATGTTCATCGGTATGGCCACCACATTGATCGTTGCAGGAGAGCTTGGGATTACCATCAAGAACAAGTAGCCATTACCAGGAGATGTTCTTAATGCCTGCTCAAATGGGTACTCCCTGTTCTAACCTTTTGTCTTATGGATTCTGAAACCATTAGCAAAGAGTTCTTGGTTCCTTAGAACCAATTATTTACAGTATTAGGAATTAGGTTTGGCTGAGTTTCTGTCACTTTGAATTGGTTTTGAATCTGTAAAGGGCTTAACCCAGTTATGTTTTTATGTTTTTATGTTTCGTTCGAGATCAATTTAAGCTTGTTCGGAAGGACTTTGAAAGTTCTAATATCCATTTCGACCGTATTTGAATCGTGTACATAACGTTTCTATAGTCATGTAACGAGAAGTCGGGTAGTGGCAATCACATGTTTGGACTCGTACTCAATGAACTCAAAGCATCATCGACATGGATGAGAATGAATGATGTATGTACATTTCTATAGCCATGAAACATGAAGTCGGGTAGGGGTGAATGCACGTTCTACCTGTTTGGACTAGAACTCGACGAACTTGGAGCATCATCGACATGGACTAGAATGACGAGTTTCAGAGTACAACCTCTAAATCCAAGTTTTCTTTTCGAAAGCTCTATGTTACAATTGCTTGAGACAGTTCCAGAACCAACATTAGCATAGCTTAATCAACCTCCAATATTTCATGAGATTTTATATTAATATTTTAATTTGTCATATGTTTATTTCTGACAAAAAAATTAAATTAAAATAAATAAATAAATAAACCGACCGACCAAGGAATCTGCATCCTTTTAAGGTCATTGGGCCCCAAAGTTGGGCCTGAATGATAGGCTCTAAGAACCAAGATTAGCTATGGGCCCATTTTCTTCTGTATTGAGGCCCAATATCACTGCATCCTGGCCCCACTCCCATTAAATTTATGCTTACTTTGCCATTGACCTTTTTCTTTCGATTATTTTTATTAATGCCCTCCAAAATGTGAAAATATCAAAACGATCAGTTTTGAACTAGATCGAGTCTTTTACACTTGCCGATTCGAGCCTAGCTAATAAAACATCAATCCCCATATTTTTCGTTGTTGATCCAATAGTTAATTTGAACATAGCTCAACTAATTTAAACATATATCTTTGACCAACTGATATTGATTTGGACTAAATTTACTATTTTTTAGTATGAATGATGATTTTAGATTTAGTTCTTTAGAGTTTTTGGATGCATAATTCCAATTTGATCTACATATTGAATGCAATCATAACTGGATATGTCTTTTTCGGTCCGTAAATCTAGTATTGTCTTAACAGTCGTAACGTTCTTTATGTTACATTGATGGAATCGATGAAAAATAATATCTACGTTATTAATAAAATCCTGACGGTTTAGTGAATGGGACGGGCCTACGAACCACTTGATGACATATATGAATAAATGTATTTGTAAAGTTTTGATCAAATATTGACAAATTATGAAAAAGGGTTCATATTTCTCCTTTATCCAACGAATTCTTTGACTTTTGCTACAAATACTTTATTTGGATATTAAAATATAATAATTAAATTATAAGATTCTCTCTCATTTCAAGCAAATCATATATTTTCTCTCTAATTTTTTTTTTAGGGAAAAAATATATTTAATTACATAAAAGGGAATATATTTGTAGCTTAAATTATAAGATAAAAATAAAGGCATTGCACATCACCCAAGTCAAACCCCTTTGCTTCTTTTCCTTTACTTACCCTCTAAGAAACCATTTTATTTGCCCTTTGATTTACCTAAATATCTCCCTTTCTAATTCCTTTTTAGTACCACGAGTATCAAAAACACAATTTTCTCCCCGTTCTCGACTTCCTGTTTCATCTGGGGCAGGCTCCCACATGGTTTGATATACATATGTCTACCAGACAAAAGCAGCTATCTCGTTTGCCACTAGAGATGTCTACAATACGAAAGCAGCTATCTTATTCAGGACAGGTTCTCGCATGATCCGATATAGAGACTAAATGACAAAAGCAAAGACAAGGAGAAATCTCTCTCCACTTCCACTTTTATTCCCTACCCCAACCTCTCTAATAGGGTATAAAGATTTGAATCTTTGACCTTAAATGAAGGAGTACATATCAATTATCGTAAAACTATGCTTTTATTTTAATAATTATTGATAAACTTGATTTTTTATATTTAAACGGTATAAAATACACGGTTGAATATTAATATATATATATATATATATATTGAGATGAATTTAATTAAAATTGAGAAAGGTAAAAATGAGTAGGTGAAATAATTTAGTTAAAATGAAAACATAATGAATCAAATTAATGTAAACTTTATTTCCTTAAAGCTCAAATAAAGTGAGCATAAATGTTAATTAAAACAAGCTAAATAAAACTAAATAAATAAACCTACGAAACTCTACTGCCACCCTGGCAATCAAGAAAAATAAAACCCTTTAGCTTCAATTTTAAGGCACTTTTTTTTTTTTTTTTTTTTTTGTAATTATAAAAATGAAATTCAATTTGCCAATAAATAAATAAATAAATAAATATATTGGTTAGATTTTAGGTTGGTGTATATTTTAATAATTCCTAAACTTATTTTTTAATTATCCATAAAAAAGAATTTAAGGAGACATAAATTTAATAAGATATTTATTCTATTATTTATAAGATGCGGTGATGGGAGTATAAATCAGGTGTGACGCATGTGCTGTTGCTCCCATGGGCCCACAATCCATGTAGTACGTGTGTGGCGACGTGTTGGTCATAAGTGGGCCCCTCGTGTACTGTCTCAGTCACGTGCCCGAAACACATCCATCCCACCACATTTTCATTTATTCTTTCCATATTAGATTTCATTTCAACAAATTTTTTTTTTTTTTTTAATTTTCTGAAAAGGCAATTAACAGAATATTGACATTTTGATTATATATATATATATATATATATATATATATATATATATATATTTTGTTTTAAATAATCATTAAAAGCATAGCTTTTACACGTGAATAAGATTTATTTTAATATAGTAATTAATAGAAATTATAGCAAATTAATAGATACGTAGCAAGCTTTCATTAAATTTGAGAGTTTTTTTTCTTTACTTATTTTAAATATAATTATTTTAAATGTTGTTATAATAATAATATAATAATGACAACAACACTTATTTGGATCATCATTGGTGGGGCCCACTTCATCATACACCACACATCACGTATATCATCACCTTCTGATCCCATCCGGAATTGAATGATTGATATTCAGTGGGCCCCACACGGTGGCAAAAAGAAAATGATTTATCTAATTTGGCGGGTTTACGAGGAGAGAGCTCTGTTCTGTTAACGTAGATCGCGTTGCAGAGGATCATTTCTCCATGTATTCTGTTTTTAACTTTTTAAGATGTTTTAATTAATTAACTGAATGAATTAATTAATAATGTATTAGTTTCCATTTTTGACTTATCACGGAGCCCGATGAAACCAAAACACCGTTCACACACAATTCCGTTTAGCCGTCCCGAGTCTGTAACTCGGTAACTCGGTTTCCCGACTCAGCTGCCCGCCACCTTTTTCCGCCAATCCTCCCAAGTCGCCATTTTGTCATTTTTTGAAGTTTATTGGTTAGATAATAATAATAATTGTAATTTTCGCGTAATATGGGGGATTATTTTAATATTTATTAAAAAAATATAATGATTAAAATAAAACAGAAAATAGTTTTTCTTTTTTAACGTAATTTATAATTATTAGGAGGGTAATTTAGTAACTAATGATTAAAATAAAACAGAAAATAGTTTTTTTAACGTAATGTATAATCACTAGGAGGGTAATTTGGTAACTTCACAATCATAATGGGGACACGTGTCAAAATAGTGTGGAAAAAATCTTGGAAGAATAAAGAAAGGGGGAGTGGAAAGGGACAAAATGGAATAAAAGAAGGAAATAAATATTTAGGGATTAGCCCATGCTTTCTTACTTAATTCAATCAGGCAACAGAAGATTCAGCATTTTATTGAATTGAACACAAAATTTTAATTAATTAAAAATTGGCATCGCTGATTTTGTTTAATTAATTTTTACACCCGCCTTTTTCGTTTTCCATGATCACCGATTCACTGCCCCACCACCATGTGAGTCCCTTTCCTTCTCTCTTTTCATTTTTTTTTTTAATTATTTTTTTCTCTCTACAGAGTTCTATAAATCTCCATTACTTCTCTTGTAGGTCGCTCTGGAAAAATCGTTTATCTGATTAGAATCGGCCTTCTCTGCCCTTCGTTTTTGTCAGTTTTGAGGCCTTGATGCCTCAAGATATCGGCAAATGAGATAGTTTCGTGTATTTTGCGGTCTCTGTACCGGGATTCTTTGCCTATGAAGGGATTCCCTGCTTCGCTTTTGCTTCTGTTTTTGGTGGGTTTTGCTACTTTTAATTGGGTTTTGGCTTTGCCTCACGATGTGGTGCGGGAAGATTCTGGGAATTTTATCTTAGGTTTGGACATCCTTCTCTACCGTTTCTAAATTCTTTCCGGATTCGATCGTTTATTATTTATTCTCATTTGGTTGTGATTTTTTTTTTTTTTTTTTTATGTGAATTTGATTGATGGATTCTGTTTATTATTTTGATGAAAATGACGGAGGGAAATGATCGCTGTTTTATGTTGTGTAATCTGTATTTCTCTTGCGTATTCTAAGCGATCACATTGTGTTGAATCTTTATTCCCTGTTTTTGCTTTATCTTTTGTGTGTTCTATGGAGCATTTGTCTCAAAGTATGTTCGTTTGTTTATTAAGGAAGGGTTGGATTTGCAGGGCAAAATGACTTTGGTACTTGGGAGAACCAGATATTGCAGACTGCTGAGGCCTCAGGATCTTCAAAAAACGACTCTCAAAGCCCTCTTCTATTGGCAGCAAATAGAACGAAGCGTCCTGATATTCGTCATGGGTTTAGGGTGTATGAAGGTGGCTGGGACATTGCCAATCCCAATTACTGGACTGTAAGCTCTGTTATACCATAATTTATTTTACTAATTTTGTTTTTTTTTTTTTTTTATATATATATATTTTGCCTTGAAATTCTGCTGTTCTAGACAATTTCTTGTGATTTGTTTGTGTATGTATGCTAGCAAGATATCATTTGAGGTGAGAAAATCTTTGGAGACTTGTGGTAGAATTTTAGTCATACACTCTCTAGTTTACAAGACTACAGAGTGATTCTTTAGGAAATGAACTATCATAATCCTGGAGTTTTAGTCACGTCGATCATACTTTAATTGTTGGGGTGAGTTCTCACCTTGGTTGGAGAGGGGAACGAAGAATTCTTATAATGGTATGGAAATCT